TTATCTTGATAAGTTATTTATCATCTGAAGATTCTGAACAGATTATTTGTGAGCGAGTGTAGGTTATTGTAGAAACTGATGTATATCTGCATGTGCATATCTCCAAAATATGTTCATGATGTCTGTCATAACAATGCACACATACACGCATATGCATGCACGCAGGCATGGCACACCGCGCGCAAGCACGCACACATACACACACACCCACACCGTGTAATAGTATACAGATAATGCACGGGCCGGCGTGCATTAGTGTAAAGCCCGGCGCACACGTGGCGATTTTTATCGACAGTACGGCGATTCTGTTGCCAGCAACAAAATCGCCGAGAAATCGCCACCGTTGTGCGCTGCCGGCGTCACCGATTTTTGACGCCAGAAACTCGTCGCGTAGAATATCAAACTATGTTTGATATTTTGTTGCCCCAGTGCCTGAACAATCGCTACGTGTGCGCCGCACTGGCGATGGATCCCGGCAACAGTTTTGGATTAACAATCAAATGCATGATTTGAAGCACGTGAATCAAATATTGGCAGCGCCCGTGTGTGTGGTTTGAAACAGGTCACGTACAGTTTCATACAGTGGTATGTCGCTGACAGACGGTTGAATTGTCGGCCGGGTGGCGCACACGTGGCGATGTTTTATCGACAGTACCCGTCGCATTTTATCGACGGTACTGTCGATAAAATCGCCACGTGTGCGCCGGGCTTAAATGCAGAGCGGCACGAGGTGTCTTTAGACTGGTGCGCCGTCGCGCACCAGTCATAAAGATACGAGCGCCGCGCTGCACTTACATTGATCGCCACAACAGGCCAAGCGTTATCTGTTTTACACACACAATTAATTAAAAATAAATAGTAAGTCTAGATCACGAAAATTTATTTCAATTCCGAACGTCAAAACAAACACATTTACAGTTTAGTAAATTGCTTCACACACAATTAACAGTATGTCTAGATAAACAGTTTAGATAAATAGCTAGTCTAGAAAATAAATAGTAAGGCTAAATCTCGAAAATTTATACCAGTCCCGAAAGTCAAAATCAAACATTTACAGTTGATTAAATTGTGACACACACTATAACAATTTAACAGTAAGTCTAGATAAATAGTCTAGAAAATCAATAGTAAATCTACATCTCGAAAATTTCAGTTTGATGCTTAATTAATGCAAATAATCGCGAGCGTGCAATATAACTTTTTTTGCGCGCTTTTTTGCACGGTTTGGCGTGCATTATAACAATAACAACGGCGTGTCACGTGACGCGTTTTGACCAATGATGATGCATAAAATATCCGAGCCATTTTATAATATAGCAATAATAGTTTCATCACTACGCGCGTTTCGTTGCTAGGCTCCATTAGATGGGCTAGGAGAGAATGGGGAGTACTTAGGAGAACCATGGAGAGAGGTGGGAGTGACGGAGGATGATCATGGTGAAAGTGGAGAAACGGAGAGGGAGATAAAGAAACGGAGAGAGAGATGGAGAGACTGAGAGGGAGATGGAGAAACAGAGAGGGAGATAGAGAGGTGGAGAAGGAGATAGAAAAACAGAGAGGGAGATGAAGAGACGAAGAGGGAGATGGCGAAGTAGACAGGCAGGTGAAGAGATTAAGACGGAGATGGAGCAGCAGAGGGAGAGGGAGATGGAGAGGGAGATGGAGAAGCAGAGGGAGAGGGAGATGGAGAAGCAGAGGGAGAGGGAGATGAAGAAGCAGAGGGAGAGGGAGATGGAGAGGGAGATGAAGAAGCAGAGGGAGAGGGAGATGGCGAGGGAGATGGAGAAGCAGAGAGAGAGAGAGATGAGAGAGAGAGAGAGAGAGAGAGAGGAGAGAGAGAGAGAGAGAGAGAGAGAGAGAGAGAGAGAGAGAGAGAGAGAGAGAGAGAGAGAGCGAGAGCGACCGCGCGAGCGAGAGAGCGAGTGAGTAAGTGAGTGAGTGAGAGAGGGTGACTGAGTGAGTGAGTGAGCGAGCGAGCGAGCGAGGGAGGTTGGGTGGGTGAGTGAGTGAGTAAGTGAGCGAGCGAGCGAGCGATGGTGGGTGGGTGCCTGGGTGGGTGTTTGAGTGAGTGAGTGTGTGAGCGAGCAAGCGAGGGAGGGTGGGTGTTTGAGTGAGTGAGTGTGTGAGCGAGCAAGCGAGGGAGGGTGGGTGTTTGAGTGAGTGAGTGAGTGTGTGGGGAAAAGAGGATGAAGAATGTCGAAGGGTGAGGGTTGCAGATATGAATGAGTTAGTGATGATAAATGATCAGATAGACATATTGTTGATTAATCAATAGATGTTATTTCCTCTGGACATTTCGTTATTTCAGGTCATTATTATGCACACCCTCTACCCTCGTCTGGCATGGTGGGAGTGCTCCAAGCGTTCTGTGATAAGGGACAGCTAGATGAATATGGATTCCTGCATTTCCCCAACGCAACGTACTGAAACACTCAATTAATATTACAGAGTTTATTATTACACCTGACTGTAAAGCTAGTTGCCATACAGGGTGTTCAGCTATGTTATTTCGCATCTCCCTCTGTTGCTGCACATGTGTGCACCAAGCGAGGGCATTCGCGTTAATCAATAGGTTCAAAATTTCAATGCTGTGAAGTTCAGGTGGTACATTTGAATGCGTTGCGACAGCATTATTACTCAACAAAAACTTATAATGTGGAAATCTGCTCCGGCCTCTGTAAAGGTCGTACAACGTACAGATGCGATTTCTTACGTCTGTTAGATTTCTCAAACTGATAACTTGCGGCTAGACGGCGAGGAAATCGGTCACAAGAAGATGAAATTCTCAAAAAACGTTCTTGCGGCCCTTGCATTTTCAGGATCTACCAGGCACTGTCATATCTCGATAGTGTAGCAACGCACGCCAACTTCTTTGATCCTGGCTTCACGCCTGAAGAGATGTGGCAGATACCGGGGACTTACCGAAGCATCATTGAGGATCCAATCTTGATACACGATCGCCTTCAAAAGGCACATGGTATTGTTGCATGCGTTGTTATATTATGTAGAGTGTGATGGAATTCGCTCGGTTGTTTCAATTATGCTTTCTTGCTATCTCCCCCTACTCCCACTCCCCTTCGAAATACTGTGAGTGGATGTGAAAAAGCCATTGGATGAAAAACTCTGCAAAGAAATTTTGTAAGCGATCGCTGAGCCAGTGGGAATTGTGAACTTGCACGTTTAGCTGCCAGCTCTCTACCAGAGCGATTTAATAGGATTTATTTAAACTATCTTTGTCTGTCTTTCTCTCTCATGTGTATTTTTGCATAGGTGTGCGACTTTCAAGCTTGTTCACCGATCCCGACGTAGTAGAAAACTTCGCCGTAGCCAACCTGTCATTGGACGCGCGTGCTATACATAGATTAATGCAGAGAGACGTGGATGTCATGCAGGTGTGTGTACTAATCACAGAGACCTGTCCGCTCACACTCATGTCAACTAAAGATTCTAGATCAGTGTGGTTTTCATAACAAAATCTTTATTCATAAAATAACTTTATTAAATGATTCCAATAATTGATAAAAAAAAGTTCATAAAATCAATTTCACAAAATGTTAATTTGGTAAAATTTTAATTGCGTTTTGAATTTTTATTGATTTTTTTGAGTGCTAAAATTACACAGATATGTGTACTGAGCTGTAACATTGTCTCTCTGTACAGAAGCTGTGGGGAATGTTTTTTTTGTTCCTCTAGGCTAGGAAAGTACGTGAGTCATACGTGTGTGTACAATGCCAGATTAAACAATGCAGATGCACACACCAAATTTGTACACAAATTACTGTGGTAAATGCTTTTGTTTGTGGTGGAGTCAAATACTCCCTGATTTACTCTCGGACTCCCTGAAATGACATATGCAGGAGTCCGTGTGACTCCCTGAAAATTCTGCCATACTAACTAGTTTGTTCCGGAGCATGGCCTCGCGGAATTACCGTATTTTTTCAGCTAATGTCCAAAGAAAATTTGGCAGACATGCAACTGCATGAATCTGAAAAATAAGCACATGCGTTATTGTTAATATCTTTAATTTTGAACCTCAGATTGCGGACTCCTTCATTTTGCTGCGGACTCCCTCTTTTTGACGGTTGGACTCGCGTGTTCAAAAGTTAATTTCTACCCCTGTAATGCCAGATGGCAGTAATGCATATCCGGTAACAGATTTAATTACTGGCGATATTATGTGTGTCGTGTATTGTTATTCTTAGTCTATGGTATTAGTAATTGTGTTTTTCAAGAATTCCCATTGCTTTAAGTGTTTATCTCAATGTATGAAGATGAACGAATTTGCGTTTTGATGCTAATGTCAGAAATTCTGAAGTCTGAAGTATCGTAAATCGTAATGGGTTTCGTGTTTTGGGGTGTTTAAACGGCTTTTAAAAGCTTTAATGTATCTGAACTATTAGTTATTACAGTGTATAGTATGTGTGCATCATGGAAGGTGTATATTGATATATAATAACTCCATAGTATTGTGTGAACATGTGGATAAACATGTGTAACATTTAAGTTCATATCAAACATAAATTTAGTTGGCTGTATAAAAAAAACTTTTATGCTACTGGAAAGTGATGAACCAACTAAAATTTCTAGCAATTTCTACAAACACACATTCTATCTAGCCGCAAGCCTTTGATGAACTGCAACTCGATAATGTTGACCTTATTTGCATGTGCATGATGTATCCTGGCTCCTCAGTCCACCATGGTTCATTTCCCTCTATAGGAAGGAAGCCCGGCCTAATTTGAGGTGTATTTGCAAGAAATTGTGTTTTCTACTCCATACATTGTGTACAACTACAGTAAAACACGTATATTAGGGTCACTCGAGGGAAACACCCAAAACGTCCTGGGTGAGGTAGTATACTGTAGACTGTATGTGCTACTCGTAAGGACCACCAGAACTGGTCGTTTATAGAGGTGTCCATTCTCTAGAGGTCTCCTATTTATAACAAAGCTCTGACTGTACTAGAGGCAAATGAATTTACCACACTGAGCTTTGAACAACTTTCACATTTTAAAAACCCTTCAAGATACATTGTTGATTTATTTCAAGTATAATTTATCTGTAGTAGTTACGAAGTAATAGCGGTAGCATCAAGAAATAATCTGTTGTTTATTTGTTTCTTTGTTTTACAGTTTGTTGTGATATTTGAGGTGTTTATTCCACTGGTGCTGGTCTTCATTTTGATGGCCATTCGCAAGAAGCAGCCAGCATATCCAATTTTATCAAGTGAGTTCAATGCACATGTACACAGGTACACATGTGCGTGCACACACATATAGGCATGCACACACCTACACATATACACATAAATATACACACACCTGGACGCACATGCATGCACATACAGACACACGCACACATGCTCACATTTATTAGACTGAGTTTTCCTTAATCGTCACTTGTTAGAGTCTGTCACGTCACACATGGACATGAATTAAACATGAATCAAACCTTTATGAAGAATTGTTATATTGTTGGTTCTAAACCGGCCGACAAACGTATGAGGCAGCATCACATTTCCCCTGGTGAGGGAAAATGGTTAGTGCCCGCATGCAGGTACACCACATCTAATGAAAGAATCAATTATTATCTTCCATATAAGGGCAAAGCTTCAGAATAAACACACGTGTGGCGTGTACACATTATCCAGCTACACTACAATGTCGCACGAAGAGAGCTGCGAATGTTTGCACACCCTGTACACTGTGTTGAATGGTACAGACTCGTATCAGCAGGATACACAGAAGTTGCATTATTATTTGATGTGTTGTTAGTAGTGCTTGCATAGAGTATCTGTTAGCCTGTACTGTATCCCCATAACGAAAATTGTATATATATACACAGGGGCTGAAAATAAGGCAAGTCTGAGGTCTGGGACCTGCCGATTTCATGCTCGGACCTTCGCAATTTCCAAGCAGAAAGTCCATCGGACCTATCAATAATTTACAGTACCCCACTTTCATCAAATAAAACATCATTAAACTATTGCAAATTGCAAAGAAATAAAGCGAAAGTAGATCGATTATTGGTCACTGTCGACATCTATAGTGTCATATTTAATATTCACGATGAAACATACCAAGTATAAGAGTCAAATTTACCGAAAATCTGATCGAAATTACATGTACTGATAGCGTATGCTGCAACGTTAGTAGCATGGTTGTTTATAACGGAAGTTAACGCGAATGCACGCGTAGTTTCAGCATACCGGAAGTAACTCGTCGCTCGTCCGAGTAACTTGGAATGCCTGCAGATGACACATGTATCAAACGAGGGCAAACGTGAGTTTGTTTAAGTTTAATTGTGTATCAAAAAAAGGACCCACTGTTACCAAACAATCTATTAGCCAAACAAACGTTACATATTTGGACCTTCCAAATCTTTCATCGGACCTTCCAAAAATATTACTGAAAAGTCCCGGACCTGCGAGCAAAAACCACTATTTTCAGCCCCTGATACATTGTATACATATATAGATATCTATATGCATTGTACCAGGAATAACTCTGGACTGTACATATGCCCATTTGATAGATTACCTGTATACTGCATAGATGTGTTTATGCTATTACTGCAGTGTAAATGAGGGTTTCGCATTCAGTTGTGTGATGTACATAAATCAATCCCATAAATGTTTTTCCTGACATACCTATCTATATTGTCTCGCACATGTAGCAATGGGGATTTCATATTCCTGGTTTACTGTTACTGCTGAGTATAATTGAATATGTTCACATTGTAATAATAGTCACAAAAAGATAACTTTGCATGACATGCTTGCAAAATTATATATGTTCAGGAGTGAATAAAAGCAAACAAACAACTTTGTTTTTACTCACTCCTGAGTAAAAATGATATTTGATATTTGATATCATGATATTTTATAATTATTTAGCTATTAAGAATCAGCAATCAGTGTTAACTGGATAATTAAAAATTGAAATCATAAATAGTTTTTTTTTTTTTGGTGGAAGTTTTTTATTTTTTATTTTTATTTCCAGATGTTGCACATACATCATTACATACATGGTATCAAGAGCAGATAAAGAAGCTTCTTTATCTGCTCTTGATGGTATCAAAATTATTAGTTCTACAATATTTTGGAGCGACACATTTCAATCCATATACCATTTATAAATACACCTATACAGCACATACATATAGTTTGGACACGAAACACACACACACACACACACACAGCACATTCACACACATCAGGAACACACACACACACAAGGCACATCTCACTATATAAATATGGTAATTACTCAATAATCAGAAATAGAATTCTGATTAACAAGGTTTTTAATTGATCGTTTGATTATATATTATTATATGTACTCTTATTAGAGTAGGTTTTATTGATGTGAGTCATGGCGATGAATTGGATAGTCTATTCAAATAACTAGTAGGCACTGTCCATGGCTTGCGAGTTTATCAAAGCATGGTCCACTTGATCTAATCTTGATAAGTTATTATATGCGATCTGTAAGATTCTGAACAGATTAGATTCGTGAGCGAGTAGTGTGTTAGTTGTTAAGAAACTGATGTATTAGATCTGCTATATGGCAATATCTCGTGCGAGAATTTGTTCATGATGTTGTGATTAACAAGGACTAGTGGATACACGCATGATGCATTGTCACGCAGGCATGCTAACGCAGCGAGCGAAGCACCCGACTATAGCATCACACCCTGACGCGTGTATAGTATACGTCAGATATGCACGGGCCGGGTGTCATTAGATAATGGCGGCGCAGACAGTGGCGATTTTTTATAGACAGTAAGGCGATCTGAGGTGCAGCAACGCACATGCGCGAGAATGGCCAGTGTGCGGCTGCCGCGGCGTCACGCGTGAGTTTTGACGTCCCCAGAAACTCGTCGCTAGAAATATCAAACATGTTTGAATATTTGTTGGCCTCAAGGTCGCTGAAGCATCGCTTAAAAAAAAACGTGGTGGCCGGCACTGTGCTGATGGTAGCTTCGCGGCAAGCAGTTTTGATTTAACCAATAAAATGCCTGATTTATGAACACTTATCAATATTTGGAAGCTGCCGTGGTGTGTTATGAAACAGTCACGTACAGTTATTGACAGTGGTATTTCGCTGACAGAGCGGTTGTATTGCGGCCGGGTGCTGCACAAGTGGCGATTTTAATCGGACAGTGACTCGAGTCGATTTTTTATCGACGTGATGGTGATAAAAATCAGTGGTGCGGCGGTTAAATGCAGAGGGGCGGTGGCACGAGTGTCTTTAGACTGTGCGGCCTGGCGCAGCAGTCTAAAGATAGCCGAGCGCGCTCTGCATTACCAATTTGATGCACACAGGCCCGCCAAGTGCGTTATTGTTTTCTTATCACACGCAATTAATTAAAGAATAATATAGTAGGTCCAAGATCACGGAAAATTATTTTCAATTCGAAACGTCAAGAGACAACACATTTGACAGTGTTAGTAATATTGCTTCACCGACGACGACAATTAACAGATGATGCTAGATAAAGCAGTTTGATCGAATAGCTAGTCTAAGAAAATTAAATAGTAATGGTTATAAATTCGAAATATTTATACGCAGTCCCGGAAGTCAAAATAAACATTTACAAGTTGATTAAAATTTGAATCCACTATATAAATTAACAGTAAGATCTAGATAAATAAGGTGCTAGAAAATTCAATAGTAAAGTCTTAACATGTCGAAAATTTTCCAGTTTGAATGCTTATGTTAATTGTAAATAATCGGCGAGCGGCAATATAATTTGTTATGCGCGCGTTTTTTGACAGTCGTTTGGCTTGCATTATAGAAATAGAACAACGGCGGTGTCACGTTGACGTTTGACAAGATGATGCAGCTAAAATATCGAGCCATTTTATAATATAGCAATAATAGTTTGCATCACTCACGCTGGCGTTTCGATGGCTAGACTACATTAGAGTGGGCTAGGAAGAATGGGCTAATTAGGATGAATCATGGGAGAGAGTGGGAGTGGATGGGGGGGGAGAGTGATCATGGGAAAGTAGGATAGGAGAGGGAAGATAAGAAGGAGAGAAGTTGAAGACTTGAGAGGGAGATGAGAAAGCAGAGAGGAGTGATAGATGAGGTTGGAGGGAAGAGATGTAGAAAAACAGAAGAGGAGATAAGAAGCGAAGAGGAGAGTGGCAAGTAGAAGAGTGAATATTAAGACTGGTAGATAGGAGCAGCAGAGGAGAGGAAGCGATGGAGAGTTGGAGAATGAGAAGCAGGAGGGAGCAGAGATGGAGAGCAGAGGGAAGGAGATGAAGGAAGCACAGGGAGAGGGAAATGGAGAGGGAGAATGAAGAAGCAAAGAGAGGAGATGCGGAGGAGATGGAGAAGCAGAGAGAGAGAGTAGAGAGTTGAGAGAGAGAGAGAGAGATGACGAGAGAGAGAGAGAGAGAGAGAGAGAGAGAGAGAAAGAAGAGAGAGAGAGAGAGAAGATAGAGAAGGAGAGAGAGCGAGAGCGACCGGCAGGCGGAGCGAGAGAGCATAGTAAGTGTAGTGAGTGAGAGAGGGTGACTGGTTGAGTGAGTGAGACGGCGCGCGACGATGGGAGGTTGGTGGGTGAGGAGGAAGTAAGGTGAGCGAGCGAGCGAGCGAGTGTGGTTATGTGCTGACTGTGGGTGATTTTGAGTGTATTGAGTGTGTAGAGGAGAGGCAAGCGAGGGAGGTGGTCTTTGAGTGAGTGAGTGTGTAGGCGAGCGAAACGAGGGAATGGTGGGTGTTGTGAGTGAAGTAGAGTGAAGTTGTGTGGGAAAAAGCATGAAGAGTGTCGAATGGTGAGTTCAGAGTAGAATGAGTTAGGATGATGTAGGAGAGATGAGGATCGACTATATTTTGGTGATGTTAATCAATGAGATGTTATGTATTCGCTTGGATCATGCTTCGGTGATGTCTAGGTCCATATTATGCACATCGCTCTATCCCTCGTCGCTGGCTATGTGGGAGTGGCCCAAGCGTTCTGTGATAAGGACAGCTAGATGAATATGATGTTCGCTGCTTCCCTAAGGCAGACGTACTGGGCAACACTCAATTCAATATTAAGAGTTATTATGGCATCCTTGACTTGTAAAGCCTAGTTGCCATACAGGGTGGTTCAGCTAATGTTGTATTGTGCGATCTCCGCTGCTGTTATGCGACATGTGTGCACTCCAAGCGAGGCGAGCAGTGTGCGCTGTTAATTCAATGAGGGTTTCGAAAATTTCATCAAGGTGCTGTTGAAGTCAGGTGGTTATCATTGTGATATCTTGCGTAGAGCATTACATTAGTGCATACAAAAACGTTATAATGTGGTAAATGTGCTGTGCCGGCGTGCTGTAAAGGTCGTATACAAACATACAGATTACGATTTCTTACTCTGTTAATTCTCAAAAACTGAATAACTTTGCGGCTAGACGGGCGAGGGATCTGTCACAAATAGCAGATGAAGAATTCTTCAAAAACTCTTCTTGCGCGTGCTTGATTTTAGGATCTACCAGGGCACTGTTCCATTAGTCTCGATAGTGTACAACGCACGCCAACTTCTTTGATCCTGGCTTCAAGCGATGAAGAGATGTTGGCATACGGCGGACTTACTCCGGAAGATCATTTGAGGAGCAATTGATACAACTCGCTCTTCAAAAGGCCATGTTAATTGTTGGCAGATGCTTGTTATATTTATGTAAGTGTGATATGAATTCTCGCTTTCGGTTGTTTCAATTCATGCTTATCTTGCTATTCTCATCCACTACTCCATACCTTCGAATACGTGAGTGGATGTGAAAAAGCCATTGGATTAAAAACTATCTGGCAAAGACATTGTGTAAGGGGATCGTGAGACAGTGGCGAATGTTGAACCTTTCACGTTTTGCTGCCACTCTCTACACAGAGCATTTAATTGAATTATTTATAACTATCTCTTGTCTTCTTTTCTCTCTATTGTATTTGACATAGGTGTGCGACTTTCAACATGTACGACGAATCCGCGACGTAGTGACAACTTCGCCGATAGCCAATGTGTCATTGACGGGCGTGCTATAACATAGATTAATCAGAGAGACATGGAGTATCATCGGTTTGTGTGTACTAATAAAGAGACGCGTCGCGCTTCAACGAGCTCATGTCACTAAAGATCTAGATCAGTGTCGTTTTACATAACAAACATATTTATTCTAAAATAACTTTATTAAATGATTCCAAATATTGATAAAATAATTCATAAAATCAATTTCATCACATAAATGTTACTTTGTAAAATTTTAATTGGTTTTGAATTTTTATTGATTTTTGAGTGACTAAAATACACAGATTATGTGTACTGAGGTGTCACATTGTCTCTCTGTACAAAGCGTGGGGAAGTTTTTTTTTGTTCTCTATGGCTATGAAAGTACGGCGTCATACGTGTGTGTACAATGCCAGATTAAATAAATGCAGATGCACACACCAAATTTGTACACAAATTACTGTGGTAAATGCTTTTGTTTGTGGTTAGAGACTTCTTGGGCCATAAAAATTGTTTTGATAATGATCTTGCCATAGAGGCCTGTTCACACCAACGGTTGCTAAAATTTCTCATTCAATTATTTCCTAATAGTAGAAGCTAAACCGAGACGTTCCTACTAAAATCTCACTGATTTTTGGAGTAAGACGATTTTGAGCAAAAATTACATGCTTTACGAAAACAATGGTGTGTATCAAGGATTGGGTCAACTGTAGCATATATATCTGATGGATTTGCTTTGAGTATAGAATTTTTTTCAAGTATAGAAAAACCTGTGCATCTGGATCATTCAAGGGAAATTGACAAAAGTGTCCTTTATAGACAGCTCTCTCTTGTATAGCGTTGGTTTCACTGTGCAACTGCCACACGCTTAAGGAAAACCATAAAAGTTTTCCTTATAGATACCTGTCTGTTACATTGAGGTAATGGCTAATGCAGGTTTGTCTGTAAATGTTCTCAGGTGTACAAACTGTTGTTTCTAAGAAGAAACTCTGACATGCACAGTATTTTCGAGGGACTAACCTCTGGTGGCCACCACCGATGGAGTCGCAGCATAGATACAGAATCTAGCCAGAGCACACATGCAGAGAGACGTCAGCCAGGTACTGGTGCCTTACTTGTTGGTAATAACTAAACAACACATATCTTGTCAACCTTATAGACATGGTGTGCAGCCACTATGGTTATTTGGTTTTGATTAATTTTTACATAAACTGTCAAACCTAGACATCATGGTAATTCAAGGGATACTGCAAAAGTATCATTTATATAGATGTGGTTTTGCTGTGTGACTTCCACTCAAGGTAAATCCCAACAGTGTCCTTTATAGTGAGGTTTCTGTTTTACTTAGGTGATTGCTAACACTTTGAGTGTACAGTGCAACCCCTTTTATCCGGCCATCCATTATCCGGAAATCTCTATTAACCGGCCGCGATATCGCAGTGTATGTTCTCTGTTTTTTCATTCATTTCCACCTAGAAATCTCGCTCAAAGCTCGCTCAAAACTCGGGCGATGTACCAATGATTCTCGCGCGATGTACACATTGATTATCGTAAGAGCGCACAGCTATCACATGCACAAAACAAACACACTTACCATAAGAGCAAACGCCCATGTACATGTACATGTATAAATATACGCCCATATTAATACGAATATTTGACGAATACATACTCACTTGTTGATGCTGTAAAAACTACCAAGGAATAAAAGATATATACATTGTATACTATATGAATGAACAAAAATGTGTGTGTGCGTGTGTGCGTGCGTGTGTGTGTTGTCCGCTATGCCTCCGGACAACTTTCGTTCATTAACGAACAACTTTTACTAGCGGACGTTAGCGAAACGCGCTACCTCGCTACGCACTCGCAATCGATCGAGCCCCGTACTTCAATCAAAGGCGCCGCTGCCGCGCACATGTAACAGCCCTAGGCATACAACGTCGCGAGTGTATCGATCGTTACAGCCCTAGATCTCAGCACAAAATAAACAAACATAAACCGAAGTGGTAAAATTTCTGTTTTATTTCATTTTATTTCCATTTCATATAAACCATAAGACATGACAGTTTGTTACAAATAATCAATTGTAGCAACGAGTAAATACATTATCACATGCATAACCCCTACTGAACTGCATAGAAATGCTGTGTTTGAGCATAACTCTCATATCCGGCCAAATCCCATATCCGGATGGGTGCCGGTCCCGACGTGGCCGGATAAAGGAGGTCGGACTGTACATAGTAATTGTTTTTCTGACTTTCTATCTCTAGCCATCTGACGATAAGTAACATGTTTTTTTGCGATATCTATTAAGTCAATATGTACATTTGATATACAAATGCAGGGTTCTGCCCAGGATTTTTTAGTGCCGGGCGCATCCAGTTGCGACTTCAAGATGCAAGCGCCGTAGGCGCGAAGCCAATCTAGGGGGGTCCGGGGGCATGCCCCCCCTGAAAATTTTTGATTTTTGATAGTCTGAAACTCAATTTCCTGCAATTTCTGTCCAATAAAAAGCCCATATTTATCACTTTTTTTTCTTTTCTTTTTTTTATATCAAAAATTTGTGCCGGGCGGAGATATATAGTGCCGGGCGGCAACCGCGAGTGCTGGGCACACCCGCCCACCGCCGCCCACCGTGGGCAGAACCCTGAAATGTACTATCAACACCGGCAACACAGAAACGTTATCTGTGCATGTTTACACAGCTTGGTGACTATAAGGTTGTTCCCTTCACTGATGGTGGCGAATGTTTCGATTTGCAGCTCTGTTTTACCAGCTGCTGGGAGATCCAGCATTTCTGTCCGAGTATGCCACTGAGCTGGAGCCTTTGCTTGTGCTCCTCCAGCCGACAGGGAACGAGTCGTCCCTGTCCACCATCACAGACCTAGAACTTGCCAAGATGATAAAAGTGAGACCATCTACCTGCCTTCTGCATAGATGCAAACCACCTAATAGTAATAGTAATAATAATGTTAAAAAAAACTTTTCATTGATTGCTTCTATCGAAATAAAATATGCTCACATTCACACCCATAATATATAAATTATACTAATAGTGATATAATACATCGTGACAAGCTATTAAATTATAATTGTCATTAAATCTCGTGGGACTTGTTGTTGACCTATTACTACCCAAATGACAAACGAGATGCCCACCTTGCTAATATAGGTCGCTGATTCGAGAACTACCTGTATGTGGTTTTTCATGTGTATTTGGCAAAATATTAGTTGCTAAGTATTGTGTTTAGAACATCATTTCAAAACAGTGATTGGTTTGAGCTGCCTGTCAATCATGCCGGGCAAATAGGTCGCATGCTGGCCAGTCCGTTTTAGTGGCACATCATTTGATCCAATTCGCACTACAGAATAAAGACTTCTGGTCTTTTTTAATCGATAAACATTAAATAAATTGGCCTCACTTCAATGCATTTTTTAAATGTGACTGAGTTTTTTCTTTTCGTTATAGACCATCGTGCTTTCACCAAAAGGTATTAAACACTTAGCCTGCAATGCTGAGATGATGAGTCCCTCTGACACAGATCAGCAGGAGATACAGAGTGGAATATGCAATCAAAGTCAGCTACAATTGCAGGAGCTTTCACATATACTCATGCAGCAAGTCAGCAACAAGAGATTGGAAGCCATAGTATGTTTTAACTTATTGCTGCTATTGTTTTTTAATAATTCGGTTGTGTATAATTAAAGGCCATACCTTGAACATATCATTTGTATATCAATGTCCTCCCCCGGAATTTCGGAAGGCATGTCATTTATGGACGAATGGGGGAAAGCCTGGGAGGAGTTGTACCAGTTGAAATTATATACACCTGCCATAAGTGACCCCAATACATAGGCAAACTCTATTATTTCAGAAACGTATACATCAACCTCTGAAAACACCATGACCGTGTTGCGATTGTCAATAGTAAACTGCTGTAAATTACGCATGTCGGAGCTTTGAAGGCACTTTGGACCCAACATTTAAGCCTGGGGAGAACCCCGTGTGTGTGAGCGTGAGTGTGTGCGTGCGTGCATGCGTGTCTGTGTGTGTGCGTGCGTGCGTGCGTGCGTGCGTGCGTGCGTGCGCGTGCATGTGTGTGTGTGCGTTCATGCATGTGTTTGTGCCTGCGAGTGCGTGCGTGCATTGCAACACATGACAATATTATGAGAATTAAATAAACAGGGGGAGAATGTACCTCTATGTTTCAAGGTGCAGACCTGAGGCAAGGCATTCCTGTAGTTCCTGCAGGTTATGGATATGGCTTCTGTCAATTCGTGTGATCGAATCTGAATTCAATTTTCCAGTTACATCTTAAAGGCTGGGAGCCACAACCCATGTGGGATAGATACAGAGAGCTTTCGCAGCGCATGAAGGTTTTTATTAACTTTGACCGTGACTTAAAAGCGATGAGTGGACTTGCCTCACATCTGCCTCTGACTGAGTGCTCTGATCTAGTCGTCAATGACAGCTTACCGATAGGTGGGTGATCTGTTGTCTGTAGTCGTTAAAGTGAGTACGTACGTGGTTGGTGTGTACACTGAAATCAACATAATATTTACCATCTGCTATCCAATAGTCTATCCACTGTACACCCAATAAGCACAACTTATGTGAAACATGCAGAGTACAGTAATATTCTATATTATGACAACTCCAGTTACGTAAATTTGCCCATACTCAGTTTGTATATTATGACTACATGTCTACAAGATGTGTAACAAAAATGCACTCACATATGTAATTTGTTTAAGTATGAACAGGGCTTCTATCTAAAAACTACCTTTCCCGTGTTATAATATTTTGCACTCATAATTGTGCATTTACATATAGTGCCCTACATCCAGTGTACTCTAGGTCGGGATACCAATTCTTACACTGAATTCCTTTTCCTGTGTTATTACATTCAATAGTCAATATACTAATGTAATGTTCAACAGTGTTTGCTTCTATCTATATCTATACTATAATTTGGCTAATCTTGTGTGTGTGTGTGTTTGTTTGTGCTCGCTTTTCGCCCTGATTTGTCACTCAATCGCGCTAACTGAAGATATATTCAGAATCACCACGTCTGGGAGATGGTTCTGGCTGAGAAAAAAATTT